TTCGTGTACTTGTGGAGATAATTTGCGAGGCCAAGCCACTGACGCAATTCAGTCTGATTCTGCGGCGTGGGCCACGCACAGATGGACGAGACCTTCTCAGGATCCGCTCGGACACCATTTTTGCTCACATAACAGCCAAGCACCGGAATCTCCGGGGCACAGAAGATACACTTCTTCAAGTTCGCGTACAGTTTGTTTTCGCGCATGACTTGGAACACTTGTCGTAAGCGATTCAAGTGAACTTCTGTGGCGCTGAGATCGCCCTCAGCGCGGCTGTGAACGAAGATGTCAGCGAAGTAGCTCGGAGCGATAGAACGTGGGAAACCATGGGATTGAACGTGGCTGGTGCGTTTTTCAAATCCTGCGGCATGACAAGCCACTCTCACAGCATCCCGCTGGGAGTGCTCATCGCTGAGTCGCATCAAGATCTGAGAGAAGCCATCGGTCAGGTCGATGGCGCAGAAAATAACACTGCGGCCCATGGTGTCAAGTACCATATCCTTCCGAGGGATCGGAGTTTGTGCTGGGATGGTGGCGTCGTTTAGCTTGTTAAAAGCGTGAACAATGCGCCAACCACCCGTGGCCTTCTTCACGCAGAACGTCGGACTCGAGTGTGGAGAGGTACTCTCGCGCACGTGACTCGCTTTGCGGCGGCTCTCGAAGAAGTCGTCAATGGCTTTAACTTGATCGCGTGGGAGGGGCCACTGTCGCGTCACACAGTACTTGGAACCCGGCGTGAGATCAATCTCATGGCGAATGCCTCTGTCAGCAGGGAGATCAACTGGAATCTTGTCGGGAAAAACATCCGCGAACTCGCGGACGGTGTCGTATACTGGATTGATCGAGTCGCGGGGTGACTCCCACGACTGGACAGAGAAGCGCTCTTCGCGCGCCGATTTCGGCTTAGCGTTCTTTGGACGAAGTGGAAGATTGTCGGTAGCGACCGTGTGGATCTCTTCCGCCGAGGCAGACTCGGTGATCAAGCAGACCTGCTCGATGTCTCCTGACTTCAGATCGCGCAGAAAATGCTTCCAGGAAAGACCCGGAAGGCGTGTGATGGAAGAAGCTTCGCGAGGTGGGCTCTCAATGTCAAGTGTGCGTGAGCGAACGGCGCCTCCTTCCACGCGTTCCAGGACGTGTATTGACTCATTCACTGCGATATCGGCGATGGGCTGACCACGTCGCTTAAGACGGCGTCGCTTGGATTTCTTCTTGTGGCGTCTCGAACCGCTGCTCGAGACAGAAGACTCGCTATCGCTGGACGAGGGATCACCCCCCTCTAGACACGGAAGGGCACCATCAATCGTGTCGGTAGTGCGCGGGAGCTCTCGGTGCTCGACCGCGCCATCGACTGGAGAGAGCCCCTGCTCGATCGCCGTCGTAGCCGGTGGGAGTGTCAACTGCTCGACCACCGCTGTGGATGACGGGAGCTCCAACTGCTCGACCGCCGAATCGCGCTGTGGGAACCTCTGCTCAACCGCTAGTGTGTTATGCGGGAATCCATGCTCAACCGCCTTGGTGTGTTGCGGGAACTCATGCTCGACCGCCTTGTTGCGTGACGGGAACCCATGCTCGACAGTCGTGTTGCGTGACGGGAACTCATGCTCGACAGTCGTGTTGCGTGACGGGAACGCATGCTCGACCGCCGTGTTACGTGGGGGGAGCCCATGCTCGACCGCCGTGTTGCGTGACGGGAACCCATGCTCGACAGTCGTGTTGCGTGACGGGAACTCATGCTCGACCGCCGTGTTACGTGGCGGGAACCCATGCTCGACCGCCGTGTTACGTGGCGGGAACCCATGCTCGACCGCCTGATCGGATTGCGGGAGCCCCTGCTCTACCGCCAAAGTGTTAACAACCTCGCTTCGCAGCGAGGGGTTTTGCGCAACAGCGCTCATCTCAATCACGAGGAAGTCGTCGTTGCTGCGGAAGCCGTCGAATGTGTACGGCAACGTGATCTCGCGCCGCGCAACGCGGCGTGGCATTCCGTCAGCAAGTTTGACGACGACCTGACCTCAACTATTACGGACTGCGATCTCTCTTGGAAGCATCGATAAGCACGATTCGCGAAAGAAGTTTTTCGACGCTCCTGAGTCCAGGAGTGTGCGAAGTGGTCGCCGGGTGCCGGCGACATGAAGACTGACGATGCTCAGCCTCGAGTCGCCCGACGTGGTGGTGGCATATAAGTGTGCGTGAAGCACAGGAGGGCTAGAAGGTTGGGTAGCCACCGGGGGACCCGGACCTCTATTCCAGCCAGTAGGGCGCCCCGCACCTACTGGCCCTGACCGTTTTTTGACTGAGCGGCAGGTGAGACTTCGGCGGTGTGCGCGAGTACTGGCGCTGGCGCATGGCATTCCGCCGCGCGATGACCGATCTTCCGGCAGCGGAAGCAAGTGAGCGGGCGATTAGGACGGCCGTTGGGCCCACGAGAAGTCAACTGACGGTGACTATTCGACGCGTCAATCGCGTCGATCTCCATGGGCTCGGGGGCTGACTCACGAGCTGCCGTAGACATCGCGCGCGCGTAAGACGCCGCCACAACATAGTCTTCGCGTAATGCGAGGGCGAAAGTTTCCTCGAGAGAGGAAGGTTCCGCTCGGGTCAGGCAGTACCGTGTCATGCCTTCACGCATGCCGAATACGAATACATGGACCTGCGATGCTGTGTCAATCGGATTTGTCACGATGCATGACGCGAGGTGGCGAGTCTTTTGAACGTAGTCGCGCATAGTCATTTTACCTTGACGAAGGGCGAAGAACTCGGCACGCACGCGGGACTCGTCTTGAGGCGGCTCGAGCGCGAGCCTGAGATCTTTTTGGAGAGACTCCAGAGTGGGGAATGCGTCGTGATCAGCGACAAGTTTACCAAGGGCCCATTCCTTGGCCTCCCCGGACAACCGGGACAATAAGAATTGACCTTTGTCCCTTGCGCTTCGATCATTCTCGAAGCAATCGCGATGTTGATCTCGCGAAACCACCGGTTCAGCGGGAGGCAATTCGCCCCTTCACCGGAGTAGGTAGACGTCTCTAGCTTCACGACATCATTTTTCGAGGAACGCGCGAAGTTGTTGCTCGCCGATTCGCATCGGCTAGCTCGCGTTCCATGAACTCTTGGGCTGCTTGGCGTTGTTGGTCGGACGTCGCTGAGCTCAACAGCGACGCGATTACAGCCTCACCAGACACCGCCGCGAGGCGGTGAAGGGCTTCCCACTCGACACGAGTGAGATGAGGGAAAGCAGCCTGTTCCAGGGTCGGCCCTGGAGTTTCAGACGTCATACCTTGGCCCATCGTGAACTTGGTCATGGGAAGGACTACAAAGTGCTACCAGGTGTAACGGGCCTGGGGTGTCCGCTACTTGCTTACACGTAGTGATGAGGAAGCGTACAAGTCCAGTGATACTGAAACCAAATACTTAGTCTGAAGGAAAATCAGCTCTGTTTTTATTTAGGTCCAGGGCGGCTTGCCCTGGCCACTCAAATACACGTCAACTCCTTATTGGTTGATTATGGGCCTGGCTCCCCATATTTCAACCAATAGGGTGGCGGCAGTTCAGCACACGAGTAGCGTGTGTACACGCTACTCGTGTGCTGCTGCACCTACTTTTGTAATGCAAATCTACATACTTATGTAATGGTGTGAACCACTACAAATAACCTATAAAACTACCTACATATGTAACTTGGGAGGGCCCATTACAAACGATCTGCAATTTGGTAAGTCTGCTACTACCAGCAACAGTATTGCGAGTGAACAGCAATCAGACTGACGTTCATGGCCGTGGAATGATGGTAAGCTTGATCATGCTGCTCCAATAGGCTGGGAGTTTCCAGCACGAGCGAATGTTAAAACTATGTGGAACCTCTGGTTTGTTTGTGGTCTTTGCGCCAAGATTTGTCCATACAGACAGCTAAGTAAGCAGCACGATATTAGTCCAGCTCATCGAATGAGACACTCACGCGTTAGTATTGCGATGGAGTACCTGGAGCAGCTTGCGAAGGAAACCACAACACTACCAGCTGAAGTGACTAGAATCTCCGACCTTCTCATCCCCACTGCCGACAAGGTGTTTAATGCTGCCTTCTCTGCAATGATGTCAAACCTTTACGCGACAATACCTAAAAGAGCGGAGGAATTATCTTGCGGGATGCTTTTCAATCGACTTTGTACCTATCGTAAAAAAAACAGCAAAAGCGCTAACATGAATAGCTAATTCCATACCCATAACATCTGACCAATTAAAGCATGGGATACTATCGTGATCTGATTCCTATCACAAAGGCCGTCATTACATACATTACATGCTTGTCAGTGCAAATATAATTATTAAAGTACGGCATTCCTTATGTAGTCTACTCAATAATGACAATAGAAATACCCAGAACATGACACTCTAAACTTTGTACTATTGTAGTTGATGAGCCCAAGTGCAAGATTAAACCTGATTAATTTACCGAAGATCTCTGAAATTTATTTCAGAGCCTTATCTCAAAATTTCCACACGGAGATCTATTTTTTGGCAAATCCGGATTTTTGCATACTTAAGTATTCGTTTCTCCAGCTCTTGAAGCGGAAGGGCTGATTTAGCAAGGCAGATGCTGCGGCTGTGAAGCAGGCGCCGGAGATACATCACTACATGAAAATAAACCTTCACAACGTGGTATTAGATTGTATCTACCTACTGGAATCGCTAACATTGAAAACGAAAAAAGCAATAAATTTTAGAGCTTCTTCGTACGACCCATTGTTTTCCTGCTAAGCTATGGGCAGCCATAATATCGTTGTCATTACCGCAGGGATATCTCATAGCGCATGGACATCTCATAAAGTACATTTTGAGTTAGCCAATAAAATAAGCCCGAGGCACGAGATAACAGTATTATATCTTATATAGCACACACGATTTACAGTAAAATTCCAATTATATAGATCAAATTTCCTCAGCCAGTCACTCAGGATCGCAATCGATACCAACAATCTCATTTTCATTTTGCTAGCGGCGTGATGGAACGAACAGGACGCCCACGCAAGACAGGAGGCAGCGGCGCAAAGTTAAAGCAGTACGAGCGGGTTGGTGTAACTTATTAGTATAAGTTGCGCGCTCTGAAATATTTAGATACATCAACAATGGCGGCTACGATAGCAGAATTTTTTTCCAACTAGCAATTCTAACTCGAAACGACGGCAGGTATACGCTTGGAAGAAGCTGAGAGCTGTTATAGAGGCCAATGTTGCTGGTGGCTCTCGTTATCATCAGCGCAACCGCACCCTCGGCATGGGTGCTACGCTGTCAACGGAAGTAGAGAAGCAATTGGTGGGGTGGATAAACGAGTTGAGAGCCGATGGTGTGCCTGTGACGAGCATGATGCTCAAGCTGCAAGCCCAGGAGCTTTACAGGACCAGCGGACCACGCAATGGTCCGTTCAAGGCCTCTGGAGCTGGGGAAAACATTTTCTGCGCCGCCACAAGCTCTCTATTCGCCGCCGAACCCGAGAAGGGCAGTCTACACTGGCCGACGCAGAGCAGAAGGTGGAGGAGTTCAGCAACCAAGTGCGTCTCAAGATGGATGAGCACGGTGTTACTGCTGTTTACAACGCTGACCAGACCGATATGTAACAAATATTTACAACCCGTGAGACGTGGAAATAACATTATCTGCTAGGGGTCAATTATGAGTGTGTGCCTACCTCTACAATCACTACTCGCAGGGCCAAAACGGTATGGGTGAAGTGTGCAGGGAAAAGCAAAGAGCGGGTGACTGCAAAGCTGTTGGCCACAAGCGACGGCTCAAAACGAGAGCCTTTCCTCGTTTTCAAGACTCGACCATCGACCAAGCCCGATGTTGCGAGGGAGAACAAAGTGATGCGACACGGTTTTGGGCGCAGACAATGGGGCGAGGTTCACCTGCTTCAACAAGGTGTCCATATCTACGGCAATGCCGCTGGGTGGTGGAACAGTGAGCTCTCTATTGAGCTTCTGTCTATACACTTCGGACAGCGACCGAACATGCACGTGTTCTTCTGCTCTGGGATGACTTTTTGGGGCATTGCCGACAAGATGTATTAATCTTTGCTCGTCTCCTCAATGTCGTGCTAATGAAGGTGCCTCCTGGATACACTTACGCGTGCCGGCCGGCAGACGTAGCATGGAACAAGTCACTCAAGGATTTTATAAGGAGGTAGTGGGTCGAGGGTTTATTAGAACAAGTTCCAGCGGCATCTGCTGGACGCACTACTTAAAAGATGTCACCACCAACACGATTGAATATGGTTCGCTGGAAGACATGCGCGTGGGCATCTCTCGCTTATACTTCAATCACTGGCGGTTTTAAGAAGGCAAAGCTAGCGATCATCACAGCGCTGATGCTACCACATCCGACACCACACGCACCATCAGCATCAGACTTGGGCCCACTCGTCAGGCTACTACTGCTAAGCAACGTCGCGCTACAAGCTGTTGATCCAGCAAAGGACATCGACTATAACGAGCTCGATTGCGAAGAAGATGGTGCCGAGGGCGACCGCTTGGCTCAAAACGACGCTTCTTAGCTGACACACGCGACCAAGAGACTACCGGGAGGAATCGAACCTCCATCCTCCCACATGGGAACTTTTGTAGTAGGTCTTCACTGGACCTGCACAGACCATCAGCAGAACCGTTAAAGCTTGAATACACGTTGTAGATATCGAAGAAGATCTCGTAGCGTACCATCTTGTGTTGGACGGGGATTTAACCATTGTTATGGCGGCAGCCCTCTTAGAACACACAGTCCACCCTCAATTCTCTTCGCGGTCAATCCAACACTGAATAGCTTGGCGAGAAGGCGGCCAAAAATGTCGGCCAGCCAATGCATGTCTATCGACATTTCCAGTGGAGGGACTGTTTACTGGATGTTTAACGGATGTAAATGAAAATGTGCACGATTGGAATGCCCATATGATGGGTGAAAAGTCGTGTACACTGACTGCTGTGCTCTTTGAAATGTCCCCTGCGATAATCGCAGAAAGAAAAGGATATGATAATTATGTCTATTGTTTTTATAATAAATCTCCATGGTGATGTAAAAAAAGGTTTTACCCAGAAAACAAAAAGAAACATCACAATTCACGTCTCTATCCATGACTTGCTAAAGAGCGTACCTGCCCACATTAATATTATCTTAGTATTCGCCTTCCAGAACTTTCGAGTCTGCTAGGGTCCCTTGTCGCGAGTCGCCCTGGAACGGGACGCTTGCGCTGATCAACGGTAGCGATCATGAGACGTGGGGGGGGGGTAACACGTAGTAATCCAGGTCTACACAAATACCATAATTTATAATATAAAGCCAAATACATTAAGTCAACTCGGGGTTTCCAGGCAGCATTCAAGACTGACCAAACTAACCTCGCCAACAATGTCATCCGTACCGTAGCTCTACTCAGTCGAATCCCACGTCAGTACATCCTTGGGTACACTGTTGTCGGTGGCGTCCCTCCCTTCGCTTCACTGTCCTTCGCATCCGCTCCAGTATTGCCGTCGTCCGTCCTAAGGACCTTGCACATCGCCGTGACGACAGGTAGTGCCTCAGCCATAACTGCACCTCCGACGACGTAATCAGCAAGTAGAGTAGTTTCCTTTCCGGATACGACGGGGTCAGGCCCCAATTCGGACAATACAATCAAACAATGTCAGAGCTAATTCGGGCGACGCTCATCCCCTTGCCGTACGACTTCAAGTGGCGGGTCGCAGGTCACTCCAGAGGGGGAACGGGAGCCGTGCCCAGGATGGTTGTTACCGGTCTCACTCGAGACATCCTCCCCGACTGAATCTCGACGCTCTCGTCGAGTTCGCCTAACAAGGCCTTCCTTTTCCGAATTTCCCATCTTAGCTCGCAAAGCACGGCGTTCAGCTTGTATCCTCCATCCGCTTGCCAGAATGCCTCGCGAAGACGGCCAGCTTGCTCTCGCTCCTCCATGTCACGAATCAAACCGTCCTAGCAGGCTTGGGTCACAGCAAGCGGTGAATGTCTTATCGACGTATACTCGTACAAATACCACACATGGCTAACCACGCCTAGTGTAATGGGCCAGGTATTTACTCCGCTACTTGCTTACACTATAGTGTTGAGGAAGCTCGCAATAGGACGACTGAGTCTTAGGTTTAAGGAAAAATCAACTTTGACTTTATTTTAGGACCAAGGCCACAGCCCTGGCCACTCAAATACACGTTATAGTCTAATTGGCTAATAATGGGTCTGGCTCCCCATATATCAGCCAATGGCATGACAGCATTTCAGCACACGCTAGTCGTGTGCTGATGCACCTACTTATGTAAAGAAATCTACCTACTTATGTAATGGAGGGGCCCATTACACCTAGCACCAGGACGCCCCCAACGAGTAGTACGACTCCACAGTTGACGACGACCCCACCAAACTCCACAACACCTTCATTACTCGTGAACTTGTAATTCACCGTTAAGACCACTACCTCTGGCCACCCTAAACAAACACCTTCGACGATCTCGTACAGGAGCAAGCCACCATAGAAGTAGCGTAGACGGTCAGCGTCACCACGACCCACTGGACACGCACAACGAACCGCACACGAGCCCACGTCCTTTGGATCTCAACACCAGAACCGTACCAATACTTCACTGTCGTCTTCCACGCCAACGTCACCGCCTCAGGTAAAAACACACACCAGTACACATACAAGGCGTCCAACCACTTGTACAATAGACGCCCTAGACCGTCTAAGTGTTCTTTCCTCGCAGCGAGCGCGACCATAGAAGTAGCCAGTACGGCCTCATAGGTCTTCCACCATTTCGTCTTCCAGAGCTAATCTTGGACGGCAGGGCTGCGCACATAGCTGCGATAGCGCAAAAGTCGAAGGCTTAACATTTTAGCCCGCTTGAATACGAAGTAATTGCCCGAAGAGAAAAGCCGACGCACCATACTTCTGAGAGGTTCGGAGCCGGTCCAAGCCAAGATACCACTCGCTACAGCGAACAACACCCACACATGCCTGAGAACTAGTCCCACTCAAAAATTACACGTCGCTACGACAGCGTCTCGACCTTACGCCACACTATATCTTGCGTAGTCCATCGCCAGTCTCGACAACCGAGGAATGCATCCATCGCACCCACGGTCCAACCGTTCTTCATTGTCCCTAACCGTCAGTCCAATTTACTTGACTGTGCATCAGCCAAGCGACCGTCCCTTGGTCAAGTCACATCACATCACCATCAAAATGGTGACTTCTTATCGCTGACCATTACGTCCGCCATCATAATCGCAATTCCCTGTCGCGCCACAGGGGGAAGGCTTCTTAAAGGTCATTCCGCAAGTAGCACTCAATCCCTCACGCCGCAATCATCAAGTCGTCGAAGAAGTCAAGAACGACGCCAGCGGTCGAAGACCAACTCCGCTCTGCTCTCGCCTCGACGACGACGACATGGAGGCAGATGACGCCGCCCCTCTTCACTTCCTGATCGATATCTAGAGCCGCCTCCAAGCCGTTCTAGCTTCCAACAGTCAATCCGTCGGGCTCGGCGCCCTTGACTGCCTGGTCCTCCAGCTCCTCGCTGACGACACTTCGCAGGCCCCTTAGGAGAGCGCTGTCGTCATCCTACCTCCCCCAGAAAGCATGTCCGCCGTCCAGGTCCGAGAGCACTCCGTCTGCCAAGCACTGGTCACCCAAACTCGTTCCAAGCGACCCAGCTCGCGTACACCCCTCAAGCCACCTCCAGCCAAGATACAGCGCACGTCCAAGAAGGCAAAATCCAAGCCCGCTTCTCGTTTGATCTCCCCTCCGGCGTAGACACCACCATCGAGCGCGACCTGGAGCGCCTCATAAAGATATGGAGGAACAGGGTAAGATGCCGCCACGTATGGTCGCCCCATGGAAGGCCTACCGCGTCTGAAACGACACCAAGCACCACCCCGAGCTTCACCGGAAGAAATGGTGCTTCTGGATGCGATTTCGGCTTTAGGTCCTACCCCAAGCGCTGTATCCGCCGACGGACAACACTGCGGCTCACCGCAAGCTGAAGGCAAGCGCGCCTTAAGCTCGTCTGCAATTGTTGAGTGCCTTCTTCGAAGCGATGGACTACTACGGGATGCTGACGGCGCTCGAAGACACCATCCTCGAAAATCTTATGTGGCTCGGAGGCAGGGCCGCCAAGCGGCTACCGACGACTCTAAATCTCCCGCCCAAGAAGACCTCGGTGTCCTGTTCAAGCTTCATCGCAGCCGGTACGATTACTTTAATGCCAATGCTCTCGATCCCTTCGCGGTGGACAGCAGCGGCTACCGCTCCATCCCTGAACTTTTCGAAACGAGGCAAGCAATTGATTCTATGCACCTCAAGAGCCTGCGACTTTCGGACAAGGCCCTGGCTCGCATCGCTCTAAAAGGTTTAGGAAGCAGCCCTCCAAAGCTGGGTCGGCAATCGCAACCGTAGCCCATGGAAGAAGCTTCTCTCTGATCGTTCTCATCAAATGACTCAGGTCGAAGTCGCCTTGCTGCTGATAGCAGGCAAACCCGTGCTAGTGCACAATGGTCGACCGCTACAGCCATCCGAACAAGGGGAAGACGATTTTGACTTTGAATTGACGGTAAGTTCCCCACCCTGAAGCCGTCCCCGCCTGTCAGGTATCCGCCTTCAAGCTCTCCCACCAAGCATCTAGCGAGCTACTTGAGACTCGCATTCGACGAAGAAGACAAGGAAAATGTCCCAGAAGACACCAATGAAGACGCGGATGACCAAGACGACGAAGTGGCCGCTGAAAATCCCACTTCCACCGATAAGGAACCAAGTACTTCTTCGCAGCTCAGGCAAACCCTTCTTCCATATAGCGTTTTCATAAGACATCCTAACCGAGCATAAGCCGGCTTCAAAGCCCATTGTTAAAGCCAGAAGGTAATTCGCAGCTAGAACTAAGTATTCCACGGTACGGCTTACAATCCTTTTAGCCACCACTTCCAGTAAAGGCGTTTCGACTCCCGCTAACACCGTGTCTTCTCGACCAACCGTTAGACGTTCCACAAAGCTTGACGGTGGCAGGTCGGATCCATCCAGGGGTCTAATACTACTTCCTTCTTCGGTCTCCACAGCACCAGGCGGTACTTCATCCAGTAACGGTCGAGTCCATTTACCTCGATACGTTTTGAGACTGTTCACATTCACGGTCACCTGTTTGTCGGGATGAGTGGGGGTCGCAACCGTGTAAGCGTTCTCCCCAACTTTGCTAGAGACTCGGTAACGCCCGTGCCACGAGAAAGCGAGCGTCTTCGTCCTCGTTTCATCTCTCCGAGCCTTGAATATCTAGCACCCCCACACGGGCCCCCAGCCTCGTACGTAGCCTCCACTGGATCCGCTAGCTTCCTAGCATGCCTGTCTTCAGCCTTCGAAAGCTGACCCTCAATTAAGTGGCGAGAGTCACACATTGAACGGTACAGCGCCGTCTATACTGGGCCACTTCGTTACTCCTTCATTCCGCTCCAAGGTTCAGGAAAGCGACGTCTAGTGGTAACGCGGGGTCTCGTACGAAGATAAGTAAGGTG